TAAATATAAATAAATGATCTACTGCATCAAGAGCAGATCAACGAAGAAGAGAAATTAACCCCTCTTAAAAGGTCATATGGTCCCGAATAATCAGGCGCACGAAGGCATAACTTGAAACTGTGAACACGACTCAGCAGTAGGCTGGTCCACTAGAGTGGGTACTGTGTTGGGTTTGGACTGGGTTTGGGACTGGACTGGACTATGTTTGGGACTGGACAGGGTTTGGGACTGGACTGGACTGGGTTTGGTACTGGACTGGGTTTGGTACTGGACTGGACTGGATTATGTAGGTACTGGACTGGACTGGATTATATAGGTACTGGACTGAACTGGATTATGTAGGTACTGGGTTTGGTTGGCTTGAGAGGCAGAGAGGCAGTCGGTGCTTTATGACGGCAGTCGGTGCTTTGTGGTTTTTTTTTTTTTGGCTGGGTTTGTTGATGATGTTTCTGGTTTGTGACCGACAATGGAATGTAACTGGGGGACTGGATGGCTGGTGGTAGGGAAGGTGATGAAGGCTAGGGTTAAGGTTAGGATTAGGGTTAGAGATGGAGGTTAGGCTCTGATACCAAGAAGAGAGATATGTATGAGTCAAAAGGATACAAACTAAGTGTAGAGCCCCCGTATATATAGCCAATGAAAGTTACAATAAGGTAATAAAAAGGTAAAAAAGGGAAAACTTAATAAACCCTAATAAACTAAGCTGCTATATCTCCAACAGAGTCAAACCCCGCTGTTAACCAGGAAAAACAAAGGTACGATAATAAGCACAGTTAAGGGAAGGAGATAGACCTTTGCACAAAGAAAGAGAGAGAGAGAGAAAGAGATTCCATCCCCACTATGTATAGCATTTTAAAAAGACATGACATAGTTTTCTTAATTGTGGACAGTTACCTCACATAAGCATGGTTACACCAAAATAATTGCGAGAAGCTTTGTTGAGATGCGTTCAGTCCGCTTATATAAGTTAGTGGACACACGATGGGTGATGGGAGAACCCTTGAAATTCACATCAGGTATGATCCATTCTTAGGATAATCATGTGGCAGTGCCTATACCTGTATTTTCACCACTTGTTCCCCTTATTGCCCTCCCTGTAAGATTAACTTATTGAATCACAATCATTCTATCAATGTTTGATGATCTTATTTAGTTGGTATGATTGGTCAAACATTCTAATCTCTTGAAAGAAATTTTGGCGTTGCATACTGCAGTTCCAATTAGTTGTGGCTACATGGGTAGTGAGCATGCAACTCCTACAAATTGTCGTACCAAAAGAGGCAGGGAGCCAGTAACTGTATATGGACAGCAGAAGCTGCACATGTCTATAAATAATAACGTTTGTCAAGATGAACCTGGTGGGCTAATTGGAAGCATTTTGAACCCAAATCCTGTATCAACTGGATTGAGACTTTCATACGAGGAAGATGAACGCAACTCTTCTGTTACTTCTGCTGGTGAAAACCTGAAAGCTGCTCTTCCTGGTATGTTGTCCCTCAGCAATGGTGTTGGAGTTGATGTTGATTTGCCAAAAGCTGAATTTGACAATTATATCAGAGTTCAGGTAAATTGGGTTCTTTAGGAGTTAGTTTGTAATTAACAACTTTTCCATTGGGGATAAAATTTTGTCGTAGTGAGGCATTAACCCTTGGAAAATGTGGGGTACGCATTAAAATTTTGTGTCATAGTGAGGCATTAACTCTTGGAAAATGGGGGTTACGCGTTTTCTAGTTAGCTTGATTAAAATAAAAAGTATCTTTCCCTGAAGTCCCCCTCCCCAACTATTAGTAAACTTTTGGATATTGTTTTTGTTTGATAAAGTGACATGTTACAATGGTGGTATTTCCATGGATTACAAATGAAGCCTATATGAAAAAACGGGTGAAAATTTTAGATGTTAGTGAAATTAAAAAAAGGGTTGGGGTTGGATCCTGACATGAAATGTGGACCAGAGGCTTTTAGTTTGTATTTTCTCTGTTGTTACTTTTGCTGCTGCTTATATTTGATCTCTCTCAAACAGGAAGAAAACATCACAAAGGGTTTAAGGGATCTGAATCAGAGACACACAGCTTCTTTATTAAATGCTTTAGAAAATGGAGTCAGCAGGAAATTATGCGAGAAAGAGCTTGAAATTGAGAACATGAACCACAAGAACAAGGAACTTGGGGAGAAAATAAAGAAGGTTGCAATGGATGCTCAGTCCTGGCACTACAGAGCCAAGTACAATGAGTCATTAGTCATTGCCCTTAAGGGCAATCTTCAGCAGGTCATTGCACAAGGTGCTGTACACGCGAGGGAAGGTTGGGGGGACAGTGAGTTAGATGATGCTGCCTCTTACACTAACCATCAGGGCTTTGCGGGTGGTTCTGGAAATGTAGTTTCCACAAAAAGACAGCTGAACTGCAAAGCTTGCAAGGTTAAAGAAGTCTCCTTCTTGTTATTTCCATGTCGACACTTGTGTCTGTGCAAGGAATGTGAAGGGTTTATTGATGTTTGCCCCGTGTGCCAGGCAATGAAGACTGCAAGTGTGCAAGTATACATGTCGTAAAAGAAAGACATATCTGAACACTTGCAATCGTCATTGTCTCTTTTTTGAGTGAATATAAGTTATCAAATGTCTGCATGATATTTGTTATGCATATAAACAGGATGGGAGTTATGGTGGTCTTCTTCTCGTTTTGCCCTGATGGCTTCTCGTGCTGTCTTGCTTTGTACATTGAAATCTATACATAGCAAAAATAGCTCTAAACTTGCGATGAGTTTTCTCTACTGTGAATATATCAATATAAATCTTCAGTTCAAGGATTTACTTCCAAATCCTATTAAATTGTCAGTGATTGATGAATTGAGTGATGTCGTGTTTCACAAACCATTGTTAACCTGTCCACTTTGAGTTCTCCTTTTTCCGTCATAATCTTCCCTTTTTATCTTTTGGTTGCTTGTAATGGACAAACGCTAGAAATGTGATTTGGCTACATGGAAGGTTTGTAGCTACATAAATATGTAGCATTTGCTATAAATTCTGCATTTGTTTAGGCTTCCCTTTTGTTTGAAGATTATAATTGATATAAGAAATGCAAAGCGTGAGGTGTGCGCTTGAATTGAAGAGTTCAAGGCTTAAGAACAGTGACGTGTATATTAACAGTGTGTGAATGATCCGTATCTGATTGAGCTTGGTGGCTCTTTGAGAGATTTTATAGTGATGGGGGAATTGCAATTTGCCTCCTTTGGTGCCTTGTAAATGGGTAAATGCCCTTGTATTTATTCTCAGATACATGGGTGGTTCTCACGTCATCATTACATAATCTCTAATTTATTAGGAGAATATTTGATTATTAGAAACTATATTCCTTAGGTGTGACATGGTTTTCTAGAACATGGTAAGGTGGCATAGAGACCCCTCATTAAACCCAAATACAACGCGATCTTCTATTTTTATGAAAGGTCATCTAGTTGGGGTTANCGCTTTACTATGGCGGTTCGAGCCGTAAACACTTGCTCAGTCTTTCGCTCCGCTTCATCGCCAGCACTCGCGGGTTACCGATGCCGTATGCATCAATTCAGTACTGTACAGTATTGGAGACACTCGAAGCTAGGGTTTCGGTTATCAATTTTTCGGGCGGAACAATATCTCCATTCTTATGGAAGCGTTCGTAGCTATTCTATTCAAAGTCTCGTCGAAACTGTCATGGAAGAGCTCCAAGCCTTACGCGGACGGAAGAGGGTTCGCGCTACTAGCAAGTATTATTATCATTTCTCTTCTTCATTTAGCATTACTTGTATGTTTTATCTCGTAGTCTTTTGTGAGTTTGCTGTGTCATCGAGCAAGCCTGTTCGTCGATATGTGAACAGTGTATACGCTGTTAGAATGAGCCCTAAGGTAAGGATGCATCATATATTAGGCATTGTCACTACAGGAAGCCACGCAACACATTGTAAACATCATAGCTTCATTCACCTATTTCAAATTCAGCTGTTACAGCACTTTTGTATAGATAAGGGTAAAGCATGGTGGCCTAATAGAACAACAGTGACGGAGTAAACATGTGTGCGCGTTCGCTAAAGTTCGACTAGAATGCTCCAGTACATGACTCAAATAAGGTTTATAGGCTTTAAGTGCAACCCATGTGGAGCGGTTCAAATTGGTAATGTCGTTGACAAATTCAATTAAAACAATACTAGCTGCTTATAAGAGCTAGAACCAACAATAAGAATATTCAGTTCAATCCTGGACTTGATTATAGTAGGCTCCATATTGCATTCTAAATTTGCGCCTCCTCTCTTACATTACATCATTGAGCAGGCATAAGGTCACATTTNTCTAAATTTGCGCCTCCTCTCTTACATTACATCATTGAGCAGGCATAAGGTCACATTTTTTTTATTAAACTGGTAGATGTGTGATTGAGTTGATGTAATAGAGGATAATATTTAGTTTTTATTCTTGGGCTATGGCCTCGGAATANGTTGATGTAATAGAGGATAATATTTAGTTTTTATTCTTGGGCTATGGCCTCGGAATAGGATTGTAGAAATCCTGAGGTGGAAAAGATGTAAGGCACAAGCAGCCACAACTGATAAGATTAAGTGGACAACCTTCTTGCATATCAATGGTACAAAGCCTAGGGACACTTCTGATGGGTCAAGCCCAAATGACCCAATCCATGGAAAAAAGCCCAAACTTATAGAAGACCAAGCAAGCCCTATGAGGTCCAAGACGGTTAAGCCCATCAGGGAGCTACGGGAGCATCCAAGAGCTATTCCCTTGCCTGTTGAGGAAGAGAAGAGGTCGCCAGGAAGAGGAGAGGTCGCCAGCTATTAAGTTGCTTCCGGTCCGTTATAACCGTCAAGCTACTCAATTACTACGCAAGCTTCTATAAATTGTAAGCTCCCCCAACACTTGGGGGGCATCTCAACAAAATCAAGCTCATCTCTCTCTTGTAATTCTTGCTCTCTCAACGCATCGGAGTCAATAAAATTCCCGGCCAACCTAACCATTGAAAGTGGACATAGGTCTCATTGACCGAACCACTATAAATCTTGTTTTCTCTCTTCCTCTACTTACTGCATTTTATATTGCTTGATTGACGAGTGGTGTACAAATCGATTTTGTGTATCATCAGTTTGACGTCGTCTATGAAAATCGATAAAATTCTCACCTAAACACTTCTTTGTTGAATTTGTCGCCGTCCCCTTCAGATCGATGAATCTCCTTGAAGACAATCCACCACGAGAGGAGGAGATTGCTCCTCCGCCTGCCAATCCCGCCCCAAATGCGCAGCAGATGCTGGAGACCATGCAGCAGCTCATGGCCCAGAATTAGCTGATTCTTAAGTTAATGCTCGGGCAACAAGGAGGGGTGCAACCTGGACGTCAAGCCAGGGGAGCTCCACTCCCTAGTCATCAAGGAGCTCTTTACCAAGGAGCTCTCCATCCAGGCGCCCCACCTTTGGAAGCTCCCTTGGGCGCCCCATCTTTGGGAGCTCCCTTAGGCGCCCCACATAGGGAGGCCCACCATGAGGGACCTCCTCCTTCAGCCCCTGCTCATGCTCCCCATGGTGGAGACCCTCCTCTCCAAGAGGACGAGGGTGAAAACCAAAGCATGGAGCATGAGAGCCATTTTCGTGATACTTCCAGAGGACCTCCTCCCAATAAATAGGACGAAAAAATTAGGGAGGTGCAAAATCAGTTAGGTAACGTCTTCAACGTCATGAAGGCGCAGGGCCCCGAGACAGTAGACTACCTCGTAAGTCGAATCGACACACCTTTCAAAGCTGATGTGGTGNCCAGAGGACCTCCTCCCAATAAATAGGACGAAAAAATTAGGGAGGTGCAAAATCAGCTAGGTGACGTCTTCAACGCCATGAAGGCGCAGGGTCCCGAGACAGTAGACTACCTCGTAAGTCGAATCGACACACCTTTCAAAGCTGATGTGGCGAACTACCCACTCCCTCAAAAATTCAAGATGCCATCCGTTGAGACCTTTGACGGTTTGAAGGATCCGCTGGACCACCTTGAAACTTTTAAAACCTTGATGCAATTGCACAACGTCCCCGACGAAATCATGTGCAGAGCGTTTTCAACCACCTTAAAAGGATCCGCTTGGCAATGGTTCGCCAAACTCTCCTCAGCCTCCATTGACACATTTGCTGAGCTGAGCAGGTCTTTCGTGTCACACTTCATTGGAGAACGCCGTCACCAGAAGCCTGTCACCCAGCTACTCAGCATAAAGCCGGACCGAGATGAAAACCTGAGGAGCTACTTCACTCGTTTTAACGAGGAGGTCCTTCAGGTCGAGGAGCTCGATGATAAGGTNTTCATTGGAGAACGCCGTCACCAGAAGCCTGTCACCCAGCTACTCAGCATAAAGCAGGACCGAGATAAAAACCTGAGGAGTTACTTCACTCGTTTTAACGAGGAGGTCCTTCAGGTCGAGGAGCTCGATGATAAGGTGAGCATGACCGCCTTCCTAGGGGGCCTCCGGTCATCAAGTTTTCTTTTCTCTGTAATGAAACGCCCACCGAAGAGCATGTCAGAATTATTGGCGAAGGCCCAAAAATACATGAATGCCGAGGACATTACAAGGGCCAGACGAGGGGAGTCCTCTAGAGCTGGAGAGAAAAGAAAAGAAAAGAAAAAGACAAAGACGATAAGAAGGAGAATAATAACAAGCGTAGCAAGACGGAGAGAGTGTCTGCCAAAGATCGGCTCGATCCTGCTCCCCAGAGAGATCGACAAGCCTTCACTCCCCTCAATGCCGTCGTCGGGCACATCCTATTACAGATTCAGGATGACCCCGCAATAAAGTGGCCTGGGAGAATGAAGTTTCTCCCAAACCGAAGGAACCCAAACAAGTATTGTCGCTTCCATCGCAACCATAGCCATGACACCAATGATTGCTATGACCTCAAAAGGCAGATTGAGGAGCTCATCCAACGAGGTCACGTACGCCAATATGTTGCTGGTAGGGGACAGGCGCCAACACCACCCGTAATGAAGAAGACCAACAGCCTATCAGAGAAATTCACACCATCTCCGGAGGGCTTGCAGGGGGGAGAATCTCTCTCCGCTATGAAGGCTCATGTTAGAAAAGCTAAGCACCCCGAGGAATTGCGCCCATCCAAGGCGCCCAGGTATTGCAATAGCGAGGTCATATCCTTCTCAGACAAAGATTTGGATGGGATCCAACACTCCCATGATGACCCTCTGGTGCTCACCATGACTGTCGCCAACTTCCAAGTACGAAGGATTCTCGTGGACAGTGGAAGCTTTGCGGAAATCTTGTTCGCAGAGGCATATGACAAACTCAACTTGGGCAGAGAAAGATTGCAGCCCATTAGGTCGCCCCTTATTGGGTTCTCAGGGGAGAAGGTGTATCCCCTAGGGTCCATCACCCTACCTGTCACTGCCGGAGTGGCACCCCGCAGCTCCACGATCATGGTCAACTTCCTGGTGATAGATTGCCCTTCTGCCTACAATATTATCCTAGGGCGACCAGCTCTCAACACCCTAAGAGTTGTGCCCTTCACTTACCATCTTATCCTCCGATTCCCAACTTCGAACGGAGTCGGAGAGATCCGAGGAGATCAAGTAGCTGCAAGAGAGTGCTACGTTTCCTCAATGAAGACCAGAAAATCACAAGAAGCATTGCAAGTGGAGGTCCTTGACCCGCGAGATAATGCCAAGTTGGAAAGAGGAGAACCAGTAGAAGAGCTTAGATCAGTGATCCTAGATGAGGAATATCCGGACCGAAATGTATACATCGGCTCTTCCCTTTCTGAGGATTTGGTCCACCAACTAATGGACTTTCTAAGGCTCAACATGGACATCTTTGCATGGTCACATGCAGACCTCGAGGGTATTGACCCTGAGGTCGCCACACATCGCCTTAATGTCGACCCTCACCACAAGCTTGTTTGCCAAAAACTAAGGGAGGGCCCAAGCGATGGAGAAAGAGGTGGGAAAGTTGATAGAGAACGGAGCAGTCAGAGAAGTAGCCTATCCTGAGTGGCTCTCAAATGTGGTGATGGTGACTAAAGCTAATGGGAAGTGGCGTCTCTGTGTCGACTTTACTGAGCTCAACAAGGCGTGCCCAAAAGACAGCTAGCCATTACCACGAATTGATCTCCTCATCGACGCCACCACTGGACATGAGTTGCTCATATTCTTGGATGCATATTTTGGATATAATCAGATTAGCATGGACCCCCTAGACCAGGAAAAGACATCGTTCATTACACTAAAGGGGACCTACTGCTATAGGATCATGCCCTTCGGGTTAAAGAATGCTGGAGCGACTTATCAACGGTTGGTAAACAAGATGTTCCAATTGCAGATCGGAAAAACAATGGAGGTATATGTGGACGACATACTAGTGAAGAGTCTCGCCGCGGTAGACCACATTGACCACCTCCAGGAAACCTTCAATGTTCTCAGATCGTACCGCATGAAGCTGAACCCTGAGAAGTGCGCTTTTGGCGTTGGATCGGGAAAGTTCTTGGGTTTTATGGTCAACCAAAAGGGAATTGAGGCAAACCCCGACAAAATCAAGGTCATTCTCGACATGAAAGCACCTTCCTCGACCAAGGAGCTTCAGTGGCTCAATGGGAGAATTGCAGCACTAAATAGGTTCGTCTCCAAGTCTGCAGACAAATGCATGCCTTTTTTCAAAATTCTCTGAAAAGCATTTGAGTGGGGACCTGAGGCAGAGGAAGCCTTCCAAAAGCTTAAGGCCTACCTGGCTACACCTCCTCTCCTCTCACATGCTGCACTGGGCGAGACATTATATTTGTAACTCTCTGCTTCCGCATCGGCGGTGAGCTCCGTCCTCATCAGAAACCACGATGGAGTACAAAAGCCCATCTATTATGTAAGTAGAGCCTAATGAGGAGCAGAAATCAGGTATTCAGGGCTAGAGAAGCTAGCACTCGCCCTCATCACAACATCTAGGCGTTTACGGCATTATTTTTAGAGTCACACCGTTGTCGTGATCACAGATTAGCCTCTAAAGAGAGTCTTGGGAAAATTGGATGTATCTGGGAGTTCGATATTCAATACCAACCAAGGGCAGCCATCAAAACACAAGCATTAGTAGATTTTGTTGCTGAGCTTACACCAGCAGAAGAGGAGAATAATGAGGCATCCAGACCAAGCACCCAGGATAGGGCAGGCATCCAGGCTTGGCGCTTAGGCCCCTCCTAAAGACCAGATCTCCTCTCTAGGTGCCCAGCTCTCCTCTCCAGGCGCCCTGCTCTCCTCCTTAGGCGCCCAAACACTCACAGGCTCTAAGATCTCCTCTCCAGGCACCCAGCTCTCCACCTCAGGCGCCCAGGTGTTCCCAGGGGCTCAGTCTAGCGTCCAGGCTCCTAGTGTAATCTCCGAGCCCTCTTCTCTACCACTCTGGAAGCTCTATGTAGATGGCTCCTCAACCAGCGAAGGAGGAGGAGTAGGCCTGATCTTGATCATCCCAGACGGTACTCCCCTCAAGTGTGCAGTGAAGCTCCACTTTACTGTTTCCAATAATGAGGCGGAGTACGAAGCCCTCTTCTCTGGATTAAGATTGGCGGCTGAAATGGAAGCCCACCACCTCGCCACCTACAGTGACACTCTCAATTGATCGTTAATAAAGTAAAGGGCGAGTTCGAAGCAAAAGGAATCAGAATGCAGGAATACCTCAACATGGTGAAAAGCTTGATCACAAAGTTCTAATACTTCCAGATCTGTCACATCCCAAGGGAAGACAACATGGCCACTGATGCACTTGCCAGACTCGCCTAATCCTTGGAAGCCCCACCAGGAGAACCAACATTCATTGGTCACTAGTTCGGACCAAGCAAGTTAGATATGGAAGTTATAAACATCAGCTGTGCATCGACTCAGTCAAATTGGATGACCCTCATAAGAGCGTACCTCTAGGAAGGTGTGTTGCCAGAGGACCCTCTAGAAGCCAGGAAGCTCAGGATGAGAGCCTCCAAGTTTACTGTCCTACAAGATACCCTGTACAAGAAAGGCTACTCCTTACCATTACTGCGATACCTCTCCCCTGAAGAAGCTGACTATGCCATGCGGGAGATCCATGAAGGAGTTTGTGGAAATCACTCTAGAGGGCGCTCCCTCGTCCACAAGGCACTCAGACAAGGCTACTTCTGGCCTAGCATGATGAGGGACGCCCAGGAATTCGCCAAAAAGTGTGACAAGTGTCAGCGCTTCGCCACTGTGCCTAGGCAGCCACCAGAGGAACTTACGGTCATCACCAGTCCATGGCCTTTCTCCAAATGGGGTATTGACATCCTGGGCCCCCTACTTCTCAATAGAGGACAGTGCAAGTTCGTGGTGGTAACGGTGGACTACTTTACTAAATGGGCGGAGGCAGAACCCCTAGCAAAGATAACAGACACAAAGGTGAAATATTTCATTTGGAAAAACTTGGTCTGTCGTTTCGGGATACCCCACGTCATTGTCAGCGACAACGCTAAACAGTTTGACAACAAACTCCTGAACTCCTTCTGCTCTAATCTTTAAATAAAGCAACCTCATTCAAGCCCGGCGCACCCGCAGGCGAACGGACAAGCGGAAGTTATGGTGAGAACGGTGCTACGCAACTTAAAGACTAGGCTTGAAAAGGCGAAAGGTCTTAGGGTTGACGAGCTCTCAGGTGTTTTATGGCCCTACCGCACCACACTAAGAGCTCCAACTAGAGAAACTCTATTCTCCCTTGCTTTTGGAACTGAGGCAGTCATCTCTGTGGAAATTGGGGCGCACTCTCTAAGGGTCCAACACCACGATCCCGTCACAAATGAGGAAGGACTCCGCATCAACCTCGACTTGGTAGGGGAGGCAAGGGAGATGGCTGTGGTCCGCAATGCAGAGTACAAGCGCTTCATGGTAAAATACTACAACTCGAGGGTAAAGTCTCGTTCCTTCCAACTAGGAGACTGGGTCCTTAAGAAAGTGATACTCGCCGCAAAGGATTCATGCGAAGGAAAGTTGGGACCAACTTGGGAAGGACCATACCTCATAACAGAAGTGGTGAGGCCAGACACTTACAAGATCCAGAATTCTGAGGGGAAAGTCTTACCCCATCCATGGAACGCGGAGCACTTGAAGAGGTACTACCAATGACACCTTGAGAGAGTAGAAAAGTTGGGGACTTAGTTTTATTTTTTACTCTTTTGTGGGGCTATTACTTGATATTGCTTTATATGAACAGAAAAATGAATAAAATTTATAAATTTACTTCAAGAAGATCTTTGCATTTTCATATTTAACTTCTCAGTTTCAACGTAGCATCAGTGGCAAAAACAACTTTTATAAAAGTATGGTTGCAAAATGACTTTTCAAAAAACAAAAAAAATAAATAAATAAATAAAACAAAAAACCAAAAAGTCTCTAGCACGCTAACTACTCATGGTCGTCGTCGTCCTCCTCATCGTCACCCTAGGCATCGTCAGAATCTCCACCACTGTCATCAGGCGCCTCAGTTGGTAAGAAGCCTAAGATATCAATATCGGGAAAAGCAGCGGAAATCTTTTCCCCAAGCTCCTCATAACCGTCAATAAAGGCGTCTGCAAGGCCACTCTCAAAGTCCCTCTCAACTATCACAGCCCTCTCCTCAGCCTAGGAAGCCTTCTCTTCAGCCTGGGAAGCCCTCTCATGAGTTGCCTTCATCTCTGCCTTTACGACAGCCTCTCTGAGCATGACCCTCTCACGGACCTCCGCAAGCTCAGCTTCGAGCTTGGCCGCCCTCCCATGGGTCGCCGAAAGCTCAGCCTCTCTGAGCATGGCCCTCTCATGGACCTCTGTAAGCTCAGTCTCGAGCTTGGCCGCCCTCCCATGGATTGCCGAAAGCTCAGCCTCATTGAACATGGCCCTCTTACGGACCTCAACAAGCTCAGCCTCGAGCCCGGACACCCTCCCATGGGTCGTCAAAAGCTCGATCTCAAGACCAGTCGCCCTCTCACGGGTTGCCACAAGGTCAGCATCAGAAGCCTTGTCAGTAGTTTCAAGCTTGGTGATCCTCCTCTGAGCAGCAAGAATCTCATTTTGCACCACTTCGTGATCGTGTTTCAGCTTGTAATAAGTGAGGGTTCTTGAAAATAAACACATAGCTGCAATGGAGGCCTAAAAAGAAATAGAAGGTAAAAGAATGTCAGAAACTTATGGAAGGAAGGGAGAAAGGGGAGAGAACAAACCTTTACCAAAGCCCAGCCTTCTAGGAAAAAGTTNAGGCCTAAAAAGAAATAGAAGGTAAAAGAATGTCAGAAACTTATGGAAGGAAGGGAGAAAGGGGAGAGATCAAACCTTTACCAAAGCCCAACCTTCTAGGAAAGAGCTGAGGGTCCCCTCAATGCCCAAGGCACTAATCCCATTCACATCGTTGGTGAACAAAAACTTTCCAAGACGATCCTTGATGACCTGCGCATTACCCAGCATGGAGTTAATCTGAGAAGGTGCCCTAGAAGAAGTCCCCACAGGAGGAGAGGATGAATGGGGGGCAGAAGGTGTGCCCAATAAACGAAACGCTAGACGAGATTCTGGGGCAAGAGGTGCAGCTGTGGGAGCATCTGACCGAGGAGGCACCCCTGGATTGGTCACTTGATGGGAGGACGCACGAGGTGCCAGTGGAGGGGTTGACTAAGGAGAGCTCATCTCGGGTAGCATGGTTGGAGAGGTAGCCTGGGAGGCATCCTCCGTCCTCGCCACCTTAGAAGGAGGAGGACTCCTACTCGAAAGGCGAGACCCAATCATCTCCCTATCTACTGCTCCAAAGAAAATAAAGTATTACCCACATGAAAAACACCAAGTAAAAAAGAAGGTACAAAAGAATCAACTCACCCTTCCTCTTCAAAGAGAAGCCGCCGGACTTCGGGGAGGGAGTAATGGTCCTAGCATCCTTGGGCAAAAGAACTCCCAAGTCCTTGTTAGGATGAGCCCTCATGGCCTGCAATTTCCACTCTTGGTCTTTGGAGAGCACAGACAGATCTGCAAGAGGAATGATGAGTTAAAAAAAAAAAAAAGAGCAAAAGAGAGAAAACAAATATGTGAGACTAAGTTTCTTAAGGACACCCCATCCTCTCGGTACCAAAGTCCGATTGGCCTCTGCAGCCCACTCTCCGCCAACAAATATAAAGCGAGATTTTCAGCTATGGCAGTTGGACCGCAGATCGGTAGTTAACTTGTCTCTCGTGGTGAAGTAATACCAACCCTGATTAGGAGTGGGGGTTTCGCTCAAAGTATAAGCTCCATGAAACTCCTCAGGAGAAGCATCCTCATGGTGCACTTTCCTCCACAATACAAGAAAATCCAACAAGACTCTCCAACCATTGGGTGACAATTGCCCCGGGGTGAGGGAAAAATAATGAAGAATATTGCAAATAGAAAGAGATATAGGGAACCTAAGTCCAGCCTCCAGCATTTCCTCATAGATGACAATGTCACCATATGAATCATCAGAGGCAGGCTCACCCATCTCGGCTCGACGGCACATCACAGTCGGAGGTATGTGGTAGGCGGAGACAATTTGCAAAATATCGGCATCTGTATCTAAAGTGCTAGAGATGGTATTTACCTTGGACCCATCATCAGCTACTTTGCTTTGTTGTTTTTTCTTGTGAGAGCGCAAAGTGTGGCTGGTGCCATTCCGAGGGAGGCCTTGAGAAGTCAGGGCGCCCAAGGTAGCCTCAGGCTTGCCCAAAGAACCCCCATGCTCGCCCAACGCCTGAGCGGCATGCCCAGCTGTCCCGCGCGTGGAAGTAGCGCCCAAGGGCTCCTCCTCCCTTTCTTTTCCTTCTTCTAATGGGCTGCCCAACACACCAGATGCCAGAACATTCCTCTGCCCACACCTTTACCCTATCACACGGACATTGTGCTCGCCCAGACCGCTCAGTGTAGCGCCTAAAGTGGCGCTCAAATTTCTGTTCGAATCAGCGCCCAAAACACCCAACTCTTTATCCTGTTCGCCTGCCACGTGAGCTGCACGCCCCCCTGCGCGACCAACAAAGGCGCCCAACACCTGGATAGCAACGGCGCTTGCTCGCCTGGGCAGCAGTGACGCCTGCTTGCCTAGCGCCTAGGCAGTAGCGGCGCCCAGTTCCTGCTCGCCCAATGCCTAGGTAGCAGTGGCGCCTAGTGCCTGCTCGCCCGACGTAGTGGGCTCCCTCGTTCTGTCTTCCGTCCCGCCTTGCTCGCCCAGCACATGTGCTGCTCGCTCATCATGAACCATAACAACTTGCTCCTCTGCCATAGCCGCCCTCACATCTGATAGCATCATGGACGCACGAGCAGCGACGACGGACGTCCCAAGTATCTCCACGTCGGCGTCTACCTCATTCTCCATCTCTCCTTGGATCATTGCAACAACCCCATGATTACTTCCTTCATTCACCATGGATTCCTAACACAATTCCTTGAAGGAGTCTTGGAAATAAAAGCCCTTTTTCACTTTCTCAAGTTTCAATGGAATGAGTAAAGTGGAGAGAGCTACTATTTATACCTAGGGTTTTTTGAAAACAAGGAAAAGGCAAAAAAGCCCAATTCAAAACCAAGGGCTTTTCTAGAATTCAAAAGGGGGAAAAAAAAGGAAGAGTTTATGTAGCTAGAGGCATCCTATAAAGCTAAAATATATATCAGAAAAGAAGGAGGAGCCTTGGTATGTAATTCAAAAAACCGTTTTAAGGTCCAGGGGCGCTGCCCCTGAGCCCCCGCCACCTGTCCGGGCAGGTCGATCCTCGCTGTCATAGCACAACATGGACGTAGCGGGTGAGGAGTATTCTTGGGTCAGAATTCAAATTCAGTTGAATGTTCACTTCTCCAAATTTTATTGGACATGGGGCATTGGGAGGCAAATGATGGGTCAAGCCTAAATGGCCCAATCCATGGGAAAAAGCCCAAGCTTATAGAAGACCAAACAAGCCCTATGAGGTCCAAGACGGTTAAGCCCATCAGGGAGCTACGAGAACATCCAGGAGCTATACCCTTGCCCGTTGAGGAAGAGAAGAGGTCGCCAGGAAGAGGAGAGGTTGCCAGGGAGAGGAGAGGTCGCCAGCTATTAAGTTGCCTCCAGTCCGTTATAACCGTCAAGCTACTCAATTACTACGCAGACTTCTATAAATTATAAGCTCCCCCAACACTTGGGGGGCATCTCAACAAAATCAAACTCATCTCTCTCTCTCTTGTAATTCTTGCTCTCCCAACGCATCGGAGTCAATAAAATTCCCGGCCAACCTAGTCATTGAAAGTGGACGTAGGTCTCATTGACCGACCCACTATAAACCTTGTTTTCTCTCTCCCTCTACTTATTGCATTTTATATTGCTTAATTGACGGGTGGTGTGCAAATCGATTTTGTGTATCATCAACTTCGATTGATACAATGTTGGCTTATTTTAAGTGTCCTCTTGTTCTATCAATTAGAAAAAGGCATAATGCAGTTTAACTTCCCATGCCCTTTGTTTTTTGCTAGTTAGACAGCTGTCAACTGACAATTCAAAAACCATCTGTTCGTTCGCAATTGCAAGCCAAGCGAATATGCGTCAATCCACCCAAGGAGAATCTGAATGGAAGCATAAACCCAATTTCTTCCCTTTTTTGCATCAAGCATAATAAATGTCTTTTGTCAGCATAGGAGGAAATTTGCATAGGTTTGGATTTAGTATATCAGTAATCCTGTAAAAACTGGATAAACAGGATGAAAATAAAAATTTTGTAACACTGATCGATCTCCTCAACTCAAGGAACTATCGAGAAAAAACCACCCTCATGGTATCAAATATAACAACTTTTTGCCACATGCTGCACTTATAGCATTCATCTTTCTGCCACTATATAAATCTTTGAAGACAGGTTAATACATATGAGTTCAAGAGGAATAGTTCCATTCCAGAATCCAAATCCCTACACTGTTAAATTCGATGTAAGAGGGGTAATAGTTTTGTAGTTTGTAATTTTGTACACCTGCTTTAGAAATTGTGTTTTGGAGTCTGTAACTCGTTTGTGGGATGTAGGTATATTACTAAATAACTTTTCCTATTTTGATTAACAAGCAGTGGGGAGATTCTTGATGAGAAATTGGAAAAGCGAGCACTGCAAAAAGGGTTGCTGCTGGAGTTCAAGAAAGATTCTGAAAGGTTGCTGCTTGCAGTTGCTCAGAAACCCGATGGCAAGAAGAACTGGATGGTCTTCGATCAGGTCCTAATAGAAACAACTAATGCGGCATGTTGAATAGGTTGCTAGGTGTTGAAACTTACTGTTTTTTCCGTCAATTGCTTAAGCATAAGACTAGTAGGTTTTCAACTATTCTGATTCTTCTCTAGGTTTTACATGATGCAGAATGGTGTCACAACATCCATTAAACCGCAACAAATAACCTATATTGTCCCCGGTGTTGAAAATTTTGACCACACTGAGATATCAGACTTTATTCAAAAAGCTCATAACAACTTGGTTAGTTCTTCTTGCAGTATGATGTAGAAGGAAAAAATGTTGCTTTTCCCCTCAAAGTCTTTGTTAGTATATAGACATAGTGATTTTACTCTTTTTTGCAGGATCCCACACTGCTTGAATTTGCTTGGGTTGAGCTCCTTGAAAAGAATAAGTTAGTGACAGTTGAGGAATTAGCTGAGGTATATTTTGTCAGCGTCATAATTAAACCTCATTGTTCATCTAACGATATTAGCTCATTCTAACAGATGATTTTTGGTAGTGCGGAGCCACTAGAAAGCTATTGTGCCCACCTCTTGCTATCCAAAGATGAAATTTACTTTGCAGTACTAGAGACGAAAGGTCCTTGTTCCCTCTATAGGCCTCGACCTACTGTTCAGGTATTTGTTGCGTGTGCTGTGGATGTGGCTTGTGTTAAAAATAATTGACAAAGAGATGGATTTATTTGTATAACTTGGTTTGTTATGAGTATTAGATGGTGCTCCACATGTGCTGACCTGCACTGATAAGCATAGTTTGGTAACAGATAAAATTTGTAATGCACTCTACTAGACTACTGTTATCCCTATAATATTCATTAGACTATCAACATTTGCAGATTTAAAAGAAAGTAATTCACCAATTTTATTGCTTTTAGTCATGGCTGGTTCATGTCAGAGTGAGGGCTATAATGACCTCCAACCTGGAATGGCTATGACTTATTTGACGGTATGCTAGTTTTAGATGGTTGGATTAGGCCTTGCAGTTTGCTGGTTGGTTATAGTTAAAGTATGTGATCATTTATCGCCTAATTTAATTATATCCAATTCTTTTTTTTCTTGTTGGACTTGTTCATTCATCTCAAGATGATGATGATCTCAATTGACAAAGGGCTGAAATAGTGATGCTTCTATGCTTATTAAAATGGTAGTCTGAGTCTCTAAGTCACTTCCTTATATCATTTGGTCAGCAGTCAGCTAACAAATGTATAATACCTCAGTGCTTACTTGCTCCCTTATTTCCTAATGATTGAATTTGGGATTCCATCCATTTGAAAACTAGGTAGAAGAACTCCTACGTAGGAAGGCTGTTAAGGAGGTTGCTGACAAGGAATTTCAGGAGTTTGTAGAGTTGCTAAAATCTGCAAAGGCAACGCCTCTAGATGCTAAACCGCCTAAATCTTCTTGGAAGGTTGAAGAGAAAAGTTGGCTCAAAATTGAGTCTATTGAAGCTTATGCCGTTGATGCTTGCAGGAATGATGACCAAAAGAAAACAGCGGGAGTGGTAACTTTCTGACTTATTTATTTAATCCTGTTACTTTAGTGCTTGAAATGTTGCTTTCACTAACCAATCTAGAAATATTTAATTGAGAGATGATCACATGATAACATTTCTTAGTTTCGATGTTTGTTTACAGTTTCACACCCCATTAATGGGGACTAAACTTTGTGTTTTATATCGAGAAATCTGTGTAGCATCTAAAGTTTTTCCTCAGATTCTGAAGGCCATGGGACTGCCAAAAACAGCATCTTCTGCAGTAAATCTTCTCATAGATATTGGATATTTCCCAGTACACGTCAACCTTGATCTGTTGAAGTTCAACATTCGTACTGATTATCCAGACGAGATTTTATCGGCTGCTGAACATCTTGTGTCAGAGTCATCAGACCCAGATGAGGCAAGCCCGTTTCCCTAGTAGATTTAGTTGTTCAAAAGTCTTGTCCAACTTACATTGAATTCTTTTTGCCCCTCTGGAGTTGAAGTTTGTATCATGCTGGAAATTTTTGAAGGGTATTGGCATTGAAGAAATTGTGAGGTTTCCACAGATGTATCAAACTAGTTTTATACTGTTTTGCATTCTTTACGTGGTTTTTATCCATCCTTTGTTTTTTCTTTCTTTCATCTTCTTTTTATCTGTCTAGTTTCTTTTATATTGTTATTTTTCTTTGGTAGATCCCTTTCAAACAACAATTAGGTAAACTCTTTGGGTCTAGGCTGATGAGCTTGAAGCCTATGCAGACTTGTTTTGTGCATTTGGCTGCTGATGTGGCAGGAGAAAATTTGCTTCTTTTGCCTGCCATCACAGCTGATTCATATAAATGTAGGAATAAAGCTACCTGATTCTTATTCCTTTGACTTATGCAACAGAGACCGATGGTTGCTCGAGAAGGAAGAAATGTAAGATGGTGCTGCTGAGGAAAACCGGACAGACATAGCTCTTAATAGAGTAAATTGTTAAAGATGGTTCAGTCCCTAAGTAGCTCCCTTTAGAAAAATTGTTTCAACCTACTTCCCCTTTTTTGTCTGGTCCAAATGAGCAAGACTTACTCCTCCTCTCTTTCTTTTGTTAAGAAGCTAAAATTAAAATAAGAAATTCTCATATTGAGTTCTTGAGGATGTTTGATGGCCGTGGAGTTAAGAAAATTACAACTTTCTCACCTCTGTTGAGGAGAACAATTGTTGAAGTTCAGATGGTAAAGTAAAGAACACATTGTCATTCTCTTTTTGTCCTCAATGGAATGTCTTCCTGTTATATGGGAGATGTTTGTTCATTTCTTAAATTGTGATGTCAACAAGTATGATGATTTGGTATAGCAATGTAATTTTTGTCTATATGTTGAAGTTCTGAATGTGATGTGCTGCTGTTGCTCTCCTTCAGGTTGATAGAATAGATTTGACTCACCTGAAGGTTTATGCAATTGATGTTGATGAAGCAGATGAGGTGAAAATATAAAGCATAAACTCATAGAGGGCTTTTGTTATTTCCCAAATTAGGCTTCTTGGGATTCCTCAGTGCCTTGTATAGTTCTTATTTTGGTGAGCTATTACTATCAATTTGCTAACAGCCAAGCATATGCAGCTTGACGATGCACTCAGTGCGACAAAGCTGCTGGATGGCCGGATTAAAGTTTGGATACATGTTGCAGATCCAACTAGTATAGTTCAACCTGGGAGTATAATTGACAGGTTCGGACTGAGTTTTTGTACAACATTAGAACTTGTGGCGCACATGTCAGAGGTTATCTAGGTAATTAGTTGAGGGGTGTTGGTCAGTTGTGTTACAAAACTCAAACTGAGGAGGTTTTTATGTCATTGTCAAAGTTTTAGGAGAAGGGGTTGGATAGTTTTTTGGGTCATAGGTTAAATAGTTGAGGATTATTCCTAATGTGGGAGACACCAACAGACCAAGTCACGTCTCTCAGTTGATAATATAGTGTAGAAAATCTTGTAAATTTGTGCTATCCAAAGCATTGTTTGACAAAGTTCATGCTCTGTAGAGAGGCAAGGAAAAGAGGAACTTCTGTGTTTTTACCTACTGCTACTTATCCAATGTTTCCTGAGAAACTTGCCATGGAAGGCATGAGCTTGAAGCAAGGGAAGCTTTGCAAAGCTGTAACAGTATCCGTTGTGCTACGCTCTGATGGAAGGTAAAGGGTCAATGTATCAAATACAATTGCTAAGAGTTGAGTTGGCTTACATGTTCTAATGGTTCATTTGGGATGTAGGGCAATGTGTTAGATTTATGGGCACTGAACTTCCATTTAGAAATACTCCATGCTGAACATAGCATTGTATGAAGTTTTTTGCATGTCCTATGGAATTTTAACAAGTCCATTCTGTTTTGGGTTTTGAAATGACTTTATTGTGGTTCTGGTGGCATGTTACATCAATCTATATGACTTTGATGCATGTAGCAGCAAAGTATCGGATTATGTGTCTGTGTGTCTGTCTTTTTGTCCTTTTTTGGTTTCTTTGATCCATATAACACATGTAAAGTAAGGGCATTTTATGAATTTAATAGTTGCCCTGTTTCTACTTTGTTTGCTGAGTGTGATGGTGCTTGTGTATCACATTACCAAGTAAAGTGCAAAATGCTGCTAGAATAGACCGAGACAACAGTCAGGTACCACAAAAGCTTGTTGGTATTTTCTTGACTATCATGTGGGCTATCTGTGAAAAATCATACGGATAGACGTCCATTCATCTTGCATTTTGATGTAAGAGCATTTGTTGAATGCGGTTTGTTATGATGGTGATAAGAACGGCTAAGTTTGATGATAGACTAGTGAGGTTTACATATTTCTTTTGTTATTGAGGTTCACGAAGATGATATGCAGAAGGAATCTTACTGCTTATATGGGTCCAATAGCATTGCAGAATATACGGTGGAAAACTCGATCATCAGACCAACGTATATGCTGACATATGAGAGTGCATCGGAGCTTCTTCATTTGAGCCTGGAGGAGGAGGCTGAACTAAAAATTCTGTCTGAGGCTGCAGCTCTTCGGTTACAATGGCGTCGACAGCAGGTTTGGTGTCATTTTTTTTAAATCAAATTATTATTTTTACATTTTAAAGTTTTGTGAAGTTGAACCATAGTTGGTTTAATCATGATCCTATGACTTCCTAATCTTCTGATTACTAATTTTAATACACTCAGGCACAAATGGATTTCTACTTTTTGAGTATGCAACATATCTTGATGACACTCATTGTTATTATTGAAATTTACTGATCTGACTGCAAATCTATTGAAAAATGAAAAATTTGTGCAAAGAGATATGTGTCCGGATGTCCGGTAGTTCAATTTGCACAATCCTATTGGCCTTGTCTATTAGGAATTCGTTTTAGTTATATGATTGACTATGGACATGTTGTCATGGCACTATTTCACCATTGTGTGGCACTGGCACCCTCTTGTGGACAAAGGTAAAAGTGCCCACTGGTTTTTTACTTCAAATATGGGCTTTTATTTGGGCACAAAACGATTATGGATTTATTGTTTTCATATACCAGATTATATTTCTTCCATTGCTACACACAAACATTAAATAAAATTGTTGATATTTGCTCTATGGATTTCACATGATCTTTAGAAGGTTTTGTTTTCGCTCTACATCCTTTGTTATGTGCACTTGCATAATGGCAAGGTTTTCTTGATGGGTTCTCACTTTCCTGTGGAGAAGCTTCCAGGCATGTACTGTTTTAGAGCTTTTGATGATTTAGTTTCAGTTGGGTTATTCTAGGTGGATGTGTTGTGTTATTTGAGACACATTGTGGTATATTTGAAATGGTGGATCAATTTTGTGGAATTGTGTAGTAATGACAGGTTTTGGGTAGTGGGGAAGGAAGTAAATTGGAGAATATTTGAAGATAAAGAAGAATACAAGGAAATGCTCTAGACAAAGTAATGTTTTTGGCTTCTCTGATTGCAGTGGATCTTGACTGGATAGCTGGAAGTCATCAGATAACCATCCCCTTAGTTTTTTGATGATTTAACTTTTTATGATGCATCTTTCTTTTCGTTTCTATTTTATTAGCCTCTCAAGGGGTGGATTCCATCTGCGCTAGAATGAACTTTGCATTTTATCTAATAAAAGTTTAGGTTTCTTATCGAAATATATATATGTATACTTCATTGATACTCTGAGATTTCTTAGATCAAGTGCTTTGTCTGTTAGCCTCTTACTAATGTGCTACGTAGCGTCTGTGCATTATTTAGGGTGCAATTGACACTGCCACATTGGAAACGCGAATCAAGGTGGCTAATCCAGATAATCCAGAACCGTCTATTAAACTATACGTTGAAGATCAGGCGGATCCTGCAATGCGACTTGTCACAGAGATGATGATACTCTGCGGAGAAGCTATAGCCACTTATGGTTCTTGCAATAACATTCCCTTACCCTACAGAGGGCAGCCCCAGTCGAATATTGACGCATCTGCTTTTGCCCATCTTCCTGAAGGACCTGTAAGGAGCTCTGCTATTGTTAGAATAATGCGCGCTGCTGAAATGGATTTTAGGAAGCCTATACGACATGGGGTGTTGGGACTTCCTGGTTATGTGCAGTTTACATCTCCCATCCGTAGATATATGGATCTTCTCGCTCATTATCAGGTGAGCTTTTATATTAAACGTAATTGTTTCTTAATTTTCTAGTCAAAAGTAAAACAACTGTAACCTAGTTAAGTAATATCTAAATTTGTCAATGTTAGAATGTGTTTGCAACTCTTTCACTTCCACAAACTCTACCTGAATAGGAACTGTACTCTTTTAATGCATGCGTGCTTATTGGCCATATTACGTGGCCAAACTTGTAAAGTGGCAAGTTTTGTGTT